CCAACTGAAGCAGGATCGCCAAAAGTTTTTACAGTTCGCTGAGAAACATCGCACGGTGCTTAATCAAATATTACGCCAGTCGGCCACACATCTGTCCGACGGCCCGTTCGCCGTATTGGTCGATCATACACGTATCCTCGACTTTGACGTTAAGCGTAAGTATTTCCAGACCGAGCTGGAGCGACTGGACGAGGGCATACGCCGCGAAGAGCACACAGTTAGCGTACGGCGTGTTACCGTATTTGAGGATTCATTCCGTGTGCTCTATCGTCTGGGTCCCGAGGAATGGAAGAATCGCTTCTATATTGTATTCGAGGGTGAGTAATGACCACCAAGCAGCTGGAGACTTGAATTTAATCGATTGCCATTGTAGATGAGGAGGGCCAGGATGCTGGCGGCTTACTCCGTGAATGGTATGTGATAATATCGCGAGAGATCTTTAATCCCATGTATGCCTTGTTCTGCGTATCGCCGGGCGATCGCGTTACCTATATGATAAATCCATCGAGTCATGCGAATCCCAATCATTTGAGCTACTTTAAGTTTGTCGGCCGCGTCATAGGTAAGTAATATGCCCCATCTCTATCTGTCTCGCTCTCTCCCTCTGTATTTCGATAAGCTCATTCGGTCTTTCTCTTTCTTTTTGGGTGTACACAGCCAAAGCCGTGCACGATAATAAGCTACTGGAATGCTATTTCACACGCTCGTTTTATAAACACATCCTGGGCAAACAGGTGAAGCATACAGATATGGAATCGCAGGATTACGAGTTCTACAAGGGGCTGGACTATCTGATGAAAAATGATATATCAACGCTTGGCTACGAGTTAACCTTCTCGACAGAGGTGCAAGAGTTTGGCGTTACACAAATCCGTGATCTCAAGCCAAATGGACGCGACATTGCCGTCACCGAAGAAAATAAATTCGAATATGTTCAACTCGTTTGCCAGCTAAAGATGAGCGGCTCCATACGTCAGCAGTGAGTAGTGGGAATCTAATTTCAATCAGTTGCGATGACAGCAATTCAAATTTGATATTTACTATGACTATTCGCTTCGTTGCAGATTGGACGCATTCCTTGAAGGCTTCTATGATATAATTCCAAAGCATTTAATATCTATATTTAACGAGCAGGAACTAGAGCTTCTCATATCCGGACTGCCGGATATCGACATTGAAGATCTGAAGGCAAACACTGAGTACCACAAGTATACATCCAAATCGGCCCAGGTGCGCTATGATATACTCCCACTATAGATTTATATGTACTAACCGTGCTCTATGCTTTACATTGTAGATTCAATGGTTTTGGCGTGCTTTGCGCAGCTTCGATCAAGCAGACCGCGCGAAATTCCTACAGTTTGTCACTGGCACCTCGAAGGTACCGTTGCAGGGCTTCGGTTCCCTAGAAGGCATGAATGGCATACAAAAGTTCCAAATACATCGCGATGATCGATCCACCGATCGTTTGCCATGCGCACACACCTGGTAAGTGGGCCGCAAACTGATAACATATGTATAAACATTGATAATTAATACTCGACTATTCTTGCAGCTTTAACCAACTGGATCTGCCCATGTACAAGTCGTATGATAAGCTGCGCAGCTGTTTGCTCAAGGCCATACACGAGTGCTCAGAGGGCTTTGGCTTTGCCTAAGCTGTGCCGTCCGAGAATACCCACATCGATCGAAAAGAGAAATGAGGAAATTAACTAAATTCACACATATAAACACACATACTGATCACACTCATACACAAAGACACACACGCACACTCTCATTTAAATTCAAGAATTCCTACAAGAAAAACAAATACTGCGGAGAAAACTATTTCGAAGAGCCACAACAAATGTGCTATAGCAGCGCTAGCCACAAGAAAAACAACCAATATATATATACATATATATATAGTACATAAAATAAGAGGAACAAAA